CACTGGGCGGATTGTGTTGGGAGTTAATGCTTTGTGCAGTACATGCAAGTGTGTGGGTGCATTTGTGTGTGGAGTGTGTGTGTGTGTTCCTTATTATTTGCTTATTTTATAATATTTATATCCTGTCCCAGTCCTGGTGCACTCTGGGCAGGGTACAAAATCAATGACAAAAATATAAAAACCAATAAAAATAAATTTGTCTCTTGTTCCTTTTTTTGCCCAACAGTGAGTTTTATGCACCAATTGATTACGCTTATTTCGCTGTCTCACATTTTTTTCCCCACCAAATGGGTTAGGGTTAGGGTTATAGATCGATGGTTGACAGTTCCCTCTGCAAATTTATTTACCCATGCCATAATCACCGATCAGTTATGTCTGCAGCGGGCAAAAACTTTTTGGACATGAGATTTTAATACTAACAGTAGGCAAAAAAACAAAAACCAGGAGTCACACATTTAAAATAGTAACATTAATAATCACCGTGTGTGTTGTTGTGTGCAAGTTCCAGCCACACACAGACTTAGCAGCATCCTACACAAACTTAAATAGAAATAAATCTCCACTGAACTCAGTGGAATTACTTCCAAGAAAGTATACACAGAATTGCACTAAGGCAATTGAAAATGTCCTATAAGGGATGTATGACTTATTTATTTTTATTTACATGGCCACCTCTCTTGCCACAGCGACTCAGGGCAGCGAAAAATATTTAAAGGAAAACCACAATATAACATCTTGAAACATACAGTACAAAATATAATTCCATCCAAAAATGACATCTGAGAGTAAAAAGCAGTATAATTTAACAACATTTTAACCCACCCGGGCTTCAGGCTCCCCATGCCAGGGAAACAGTCATGTTTCCAGTGCTTTTGGAAGGCCAGCAGGGTTGGGGCCAATCTGAGTTCCCATGCTAAGATGTTCCAGAGAGCAGGCAGATGGGGAACTTAAGGCTTAAATCCACCACATGATAACCTTATCTGGAACATTTTTCTTTATCATATACTGATATGTGATATCTTCTGCATTTATATTGTAGGTGAAAGCATATTTAATCAGAAATAAGTCTCTCTGTCTTCAGGCAGGCGTTATTTTCAGCTAAGTATGTATAGAGGGCAGTACAGTCGACTTTTTTCTATTTCTATTCCTGTTTCTATTTTGTTTTTGATTCGATTCATTTCAGTGACTGATACCCACTGCTCTAATTAAAGGCGGCAGCAGAAATTGTACAAGACTAATTATCTCTTCCTCTCACTAAAATGTCAGATTCTGTGTCAGCCACACAACCCAACTTCAAGCTTGTACCCCAGGCCGATATTTGGGGTACATTAATTGCAGACCACTGAAAACAACACCACACAGTAATAAGGAAATCGCTGGCATCCATTTCAAAGGATTAGGCATCCATGGTTGGGTGCCCCTTAGCCAGATGGTTTATTGCAAAGCCCCCCTTCTAACAAACAGCTGTCCCCACTTGTAGATTAGCCTAGGTCCCTCCCTTGTAAATTGTACTGTCTTGATGCCCTTTCTTTCTGTCCAATTATAAAGCAGCGCTAGGTTTTCTCATCAGCCATCTCCATGTCTTCAAATGGCTTTTCAGTGTCAGACCTATCAGGAAATTAACTCATCATGCAGTGACAGCTGCTAATTTTTCCCCCTTACATGTCAGATAGATCGCCTGCTGCAGCTAATAATGAATCACCAATCCCTGATTAGAAGGTGCTTCCGAAACGTATAACTGCCATCTGAGCTAATTTTTTTCTTCATATAAAATGATATCACCCTAGAGGAGCAGAAAACGAATTGTTCTGTTCAACAAGATGGAACAGAGGTAAGCTGTTTAAAGTGAGCCATGTGCGATTTGAAATTATGAGCTAATACTGCAGAGTAAAAGAAGGGGTGAAAATGCCACTTTTCTTTCTTCTTTTTCACGTTACCAAACGAATTACCCTTTTCTGTTACATAATCTATTCACTAGAACTAACTCCGTCTTAGTTCGGGATAAGCTTTGGTCCTCTGGGCTCTTTTATGGCACTTTTGCTCCGAAAAAAGTAGAGAACGCTGAGGAAAAAGTTGACGTTGTTGGGGGCTGTCTTGTGTCTTCTCTCTCCAACTAGCCAGTGGCTTAGGCTGCCAGCTGGTGGTCCCTTTGGTTTTTCAAAGCAGGAGATAGTTCAGATACAAGCTTCAGCCAGCCCGAGGCAGGAAGGCTCATCGTGAAGAACTTCCTGAGCCAACGGTGTCTGAAAACATAACAAATCCATCTCTCGGGGGACCATTCTATCAATCTGGCTGTTTTGAAGGCAGCATTTATAAATGACAACAGTGCTCACAGCACTGTTCATAATTCCCCATGTGCATATATCTTGGTATGTTGGCTTTTTGTGCCAGTTCATCTAACTTCCATGGTGAACTATTGCTGATAAGAGACAGAATATCATTTAGCTTGGAGCTTTTATTTTGTTTTGGTTAAAATAATCTATGTTTTTTTAGGAATTTGCTTTCAAGAGACATTTCTTGCAAAACATGGCTGAAAACATGGTGCTGGAAGCTATAAATGTTATGGGGAATGGCTACAGATACTTGACAGGACTTCCTGTTTCTTCTGCCTACTAGGAGAAAAGATGCTATTCATTTAAGTCAGCCTAGGAATTATAGTACTGAGAATGGCTGACTACAATGAACAAAAATCCAGTGCATATACATAGCCACTGTTTTATGGATAGGCAATGTGGCGTCTTCCAGTTAGTGTGGACTACTATAATCAGTGATTACTGGGCATGCTGGCTAGAGCTGATGGAATTGGCAGTCCAAAATGCAACTACCCCTATAATCCATTATCTCACTTGTTCTAAAATTACCTGTTGCCATTTGATGTAGGCCCTGGTATAGCTCAGAAGAAGTCAAGGTATACACCAGTGTACAGAGTAAGTATGAACGTGTCTCATTTTCTTCACATCACAATATAACTGAGCTGAAATGCATGTTGAAAAAGACCTACTTTAAAATAAAATATTCCATAATTTTACCATAGATGCACCTGCATTAGGATTATGGGAAACTGCATTTCAGCAATTCATTTTCTAACTTATTGAATGAAATGCTTGTTACGTTTAGATTCCTGGAAAAAAAACCCTCTAAAATCAAACCAAGGCTGGGACTTCAGGAGTTTCATGATGTTACATATAGAATCCAATTTGATGCCTGAAAGTAGCTAGGTAGCATAGCCTGAGGAGCATGAGCTGCTCTGTTTATCAAGTAGCCCAAAATCCCAGATTTCATTTAGATCCAGATCTCTCTTCCTGCCATGCTGAGGACTCACTAATGCATTTCTGCCCATGCCCACACCCCTCAGCTGAAGCAGGACGGAAGAATATGTCTTCTACAGCTAGGTTCAGATGCAGCCTTCCATAGGCCTTGATAGCCAGATGTTTGGTTTGGTGCTGTTCCTGATACCCCAGAGGAGAATTATAATGGAAGGAAAGATGTAACTAAGACATGAAGCTTAGTAGTATGCCAAAGTATGGGGATGAGATCAAATATTCTGTGAGTGGTCAATTCAGTGATTATGTTTGGAGATAAAGAAGCGCAGCTTGATGGTTTATGAACTATTACCGTCTTCCCAAACATGGTGTCCTTCATGAATATGTTTGTAGGAGATTTGTTTCTGTCTAACAAATCCAGAGAGTTTTCACTGGGTGATGTTAAACTAATGGGAACCTAATTCCTGATACTTGTATGTTTAATAGAGAAATGTAGGCTGAAGAAAAGATCTTTTTTCTAGATTGGTGGTAGCAAATGGGCTATACAGAAAAACAAAAGGTAGAAACACATAATCTGGGTTTCTGGAGAATCTTTCTCAGCACTTCCAAGCCAATGAACACTTCTGCATATTTTTTTTTCATTTATGCAAAGGTCTGCTCTTTTCATTGTGCATACAATGTGATTGCTGGTTTGACACTGCAGGCTACACTGGTTTTATGAAGGATTAAATGCCACCTGAGACATATTTATCCTAAATAAATCACAAATGGTAAACTGCAGCATGTCAGTGTCAACACCCTGTATTGCAGTGGAAAGGTTAGCCATACAGGGCTGAGCATAGCTAAAAATTAGCATCCAAGCCTTAAGACCAGAGGGCTCCAGTTAACAGGCAAAATGATCAAGAAGAAATCTTTTCAATGAAAAACATTCCTTTGAGTACCTATGAGAATCTTGCAGAAGGCCATCATTTTGTAAAGGTCATTTTTATCCTGATAACAAACGGGAGTTGATCCTGTCACTGTTGGCTGAAGACAGTATTTAATAAGTAGTGAGCGGCCTGTCATTTTTAAGAAGAATGAGCAAGTTAAACTTGGCTAATTATGAGTTTCAGTGTCTTTTTTGAAATTTTATTCTCCCCTTTTATTTTTTGGGCTGATCTGACACATCTAACCTGGAAAATAAAAACAACAACACATCTGCTACCCTGACAAGCACATGCTCCTTGTAGCACCTAAGAAATATATGTTAAAACAGGTAATTCTAGAAGAGACAATTGCACTCTGACTTTTTGATAATCTGAAGCATCATTTATGTGTCTTCTGCCCAATACTTTTGAATCATAAAAATTAGATAATCAACACATTATATTGAACTAATTCAGTTACTTCATCCCTCCTAGCCTGTAAGTCATAAGTCCAAATGGGGACAGAAACACTTTCCCTCACCCCCTCCCTTCTCAAATAGACATGGGAGAGTAATCATGATGCCTCGTATGAGTTCTGTAAATCTGTGACATTTTTTCTGCTTGCTTCTAAATGTAAAACCAAGGCTGTCTTCAGGCACTCAGCAGCCCCACATACACAGTTGGTGGGTCACAAATTTGCAAACCTGTAATAAACTCTGCTTAATGCCAGCTCTGGGTATTGATCAACAGTGCATGTCTGTACAGAACTCAGTGGGACCTATTTCCAGGTAAGCTTAACATTAAAAATGACAACACACCTTTTAATGCTAGTTTTTTTATTGTAAAGAACCAACTGTCCCCCTATATATGATAGTTTACATTTCCTAAGGAAAAACAGAAGTTTTCATAGCAGAAAAATATTTATTTTTAGCAGGAACTTACTTTAAACAATCAGAACTTATCCACAACTAAATAATCAACGTTCTGATCCAGCAAGAAATGGATCAAAGTCAACTTTTTTCACTTAACATTTGATGGAAAGGTTCATCAAATGTTTACAAAGCTCATTCATAAAACAAACTGCAAAATGGTATATACTTGAAGGATATTAGGTTTTTTTAAAAAAAGGAATCCCACCAATGATTACATAACAGGCATTAGTGACTTCCTTTTGCTAATACGTCCACAAGGATTGATTTCAGAGGTATCTCATGATGTCCAGTGGGGGGAGAATTCACACAAAAAATGTATTTTTAAAAAAGGCATTTCAATCACACCATGAATTTACTTCATTGGGAACACTGCATTTTGAGTAGAAACAATTGGAGTGTATTTATACAAGTTTGGAATGTAAAACTAGTGCATACGTAGAATGCCTTAATCTATAAATTGTCAATGTCTATGTCAATTGGGTGATATGAGTACCTGCATATTTAATTTGCTCTCCCTACAGAAAGTCAGATAAGTCAAATTACATAATTAATCACAAGAAAGATAAAGCTATCAGAAAGTCAAAATATAATGAAGAGGTGATAAGCAAAATAACCCAAACTATCTAATGAAGATAATTCAGTTGATATCTTGGTAGTTGCATCTATGTTTGTTCTGATTTTATTTTGTAAATTTTTCAGTATCTATAACCAGTGACAGTCTGATCAGTGTTCATGCAAAAACAAGGAGAATTCCCTTTCTGTATAACATTCCCAGATGGTGATGCTAACACCACATAAAATGCATTGAACAGCAAAATGGAGGAATACTATTCAGGAATGCTTTATAAGTCAAAATAAAACATAATATATCTGATGTTTAATTCTTTCTCTTGTTGGGCTTATTAGATAGAGTACTGTCATGTCCTTTATTGTTCATTGTTCTCTCTTTGGCCCTGGATAATAGCTGTTTGTGAACCATCTTCTGTGTAAATGAGCATGCTACTTAGTTGTTCAGCACTTCCATTAGAAGATACGTTATTGGAATTTATAACTGTGCCAGCCTGCAAAAGTTCCTGAGCTTCTTCTTTCTCTATCACAGTATGTGAATATACTCTAGATTCATTCTCAATCTCCTGTGGTAATTGTGTTACAATGTAATGGGTTGCACCACTAGAGAAATTATTGTTAGAATCCTGAACCATTGCTTGAGCAATTTCCTCTGTGACAATGATCTGTGAAATTTCTCCATCTGCTTCAACCAAATCCATGTGTTGACTTTGGATGCTCAGGGTATGGCTGTCAGCTTCTTGCATTATTATTTGAGATCCTTCTCTAGCTACCATATGCACAGTTCCTTCCTCATTCAGAATAACCTGAGTGACACCTTCTTTCATCAGTTGATCAGCTGCAGCTGTATCACAAACAGCAAACTGGAGGACTCCTTCAACCATTTTCTTGAAGGCAACTTGAGCATTTTCCTGAGATGAAATTATGGTAGATGGATGTACAACCTGTGTTACTACCTCCATGGACTGTCCTTCTTCAATTTCCTGAACACCATGGAACATCTGTGTTTCCTGTGTCATGCCATCAATAGAAACAGCGTCTGCTTCTGAATTTGACATTTGCAATGCTTCTTTGTGACAAAGCTGGGATCTATCCAAGAGGTCTGCTTTGTTCTCCACTTCACCAAGTTCTGTTACAGCACAAAGCAAGGCATCTAATGCTGAGGCAGACTCAGGTTGGTGTACTCTGGTAATTTCTGATGTATCCAAAGATTCTTGTCTCATTATCTGTTGCACCACGGCATTATTTGGGTCTGAAGCTATCCCTATGGAAACAGCATCTTCAATAGCAGTTCCTCCTACAGAGCCTTCAACAACGACAACTTGTGTTTTCCCATCTGACAGTTGTTCATTGAGTATTTGTTCTGGAAGTATACTGCTTACATGAGAGCCATTTTGATTTGTAGCTATAACTTGTCCATCTTCAGTTATATGTACAACCCTTGCCACCTGGCCAGCCATTGCCAAAGTCTGAAGAGTAGCTGCTGCTGTTTCCTCCACCGAGGCATCAATAGCAAAATCACTGTCATATCCCTGAATAATAATCACCTGCTGGACTTGTTCATTGGACTGTGGATGTCTCCTTATACCATGAAGGATCTTATCACTAACTGGAGAAATTTCATCCAGAGCTGATGTAGTAAAAGGGCTGGTGGTTTCAACAAATGTAGCTCCTTGACCCTTCAGCCGACATTCATAAGACTTAGAAACTATACCTAAACAAAGAAAGAAAAACATGTTTTTTTAAAAATGTCAAAACAGTTAAAATAATTGCATAAAATTCATATACAAACAATATAAAGATATCAAGAACACAAATGATATCTAGATGCTATTCTCAGGTTTAAGTACAGGTTAACTACAGTGACAAATTCTGTATCAACAGTAGTGAAGCAAATACCCTTATATGCAAAATGGAACAGAATCTTGTTCATATTCAGAGGAGTCCTGTTTCCTTCCAGCTGGGACTAGATGTATTCATATACAGTGGTGCTTAAAAGTTTCACAAAGATGTTTGTGAACCCTTTTGAATTTTAAATATTTCTGCATAAATATGACCTAAAACGTGATCTGTTCTTCACACAAGTCTTCATATAGATAAAGAGAACCCAATTAAACAAATGAGTCAAAAACATTATACTTATTCATTTATTTATTGAAGGAAATGATTCAAAGCTACAATTGTAAGATTGCAAATTACAGTTGTAAGATTCCTGAAGGTTATGTTTTGTCTAGAGCTGCAGAT